CCCACCTCTCTCTCTCTCTGCCCTTCCCCTGCTCGTTCTCTCTGTCTCTCAAAAATAAATATTTAAAAAAATTAAAAATAAATTCTTTTTTAAATTAATTTATTTATTTAGAGAGAGAGCATGAGCAGGGGAGGGGCAGAGAGGGGTGGGGGAGAGAATCCCAGGCAGGCTCCATCCTGTCAGCGTGGAGCCCAATGTGGGGCTTGAACTCACGAACGATGAGATCACGACCTGAGCGAAGTCATGAGGCGGATGCTTAAGTGACTGAGCCACCCAGACGCTAATTTTAAAGCATGATAAAGAAAAGTAAGTCGGAGAGAGCTCCGGGGTGGTTCAGTTGGTTAAACATCTGATTCTTGGTTTCAGCTCAGATCACGAGCCCACGTTGGGATCCTGCTTGGGATTCTCTCTCTCTCTCTCTCCCCCTCCCTCGCTGTGCTCGCTCTATAAATACATACATACAGAAAAGCTATGAAACCTAACATCAGGAAGGAGAGCCCGTTGGCCATAACCTCGCTCCTGAAAATTATGTAAATTCTGTGGGCAGGTACAGGTGCAGCCCTCCAGGTGTAGCACTGCACTTCCGCTCCTGGCCTCAGGACCCAACTGCGCCAGGGGCCTCCGGGCTGCTAGTTCCACCAGCCAGTACGCTCCCTTCGTCTTCCTCTTCTAAAGTTGGCCAGCTTGGGTTGCAACTGCTGTCCCTCCAAATCAAAACCTGATCAGCAGCCGCGAGGGGAACTCAAAGGCCAGGGCCTCCACAGACTACCGGGACTTCACGGCACATCCCCAACCTGGGCCTCGGTGGTACGGTCCAGACTAGAACAAACGGGGTGGGGGGTACGCCGACGCCCAACACCCCCCCAGACCTGGGCCGCAGTGGTACGGTCCGGACCAGGACAATGGGTGAGGGACGCCGACGTCCAACATTTCCCCCCGCCACCCGGGCCCCGGTGGTACGGTCCAGACCAGAACAAAAAGGTGGGGGGAAAGACGCCGACGCCCAACATTCACCCCTCCACACTTGGGCCGCGATGGTACGTTCCGGACCGGGACAAGGGGCAAAGGACGCGGAAGTCCAACATTTCCGTCCCCCCGCAACCTGGGCCGCGAGCCTAGGGTCCGGACCAGAACAAAGAGGTGGGGGGGCGGGAGAGGAGGAGGAGGAGGAGGCGGGCACCGAGGTACACTCACCCCTCCACACTTGGGCCGCGGTGGTACGGTCCGATCAGAACAATGGCGGGGGGGAAACCACAACGCCTAACATACCCCGCTACCAAGGCCGCGGTGGTACAGTCCAGACTAAAGCAGTGGGCGGGGAACGCTGACGCCCTACATAACCGCCCCCTCCCCCCAACCTGAGCCGCAGTCCTACGGTCCGAACCGGAACAATGGGCGGGGGACGCTGACGCTCGATACACCTCCCCCAACGGGGGGCGGGTGGTACGGTCCGGACTAGGACAGTGGGCGGGGGATGCCGTCGCCAGTCACACCCCCTCCCGCCTGGGCCGCGATGGTAGGGTCCGGACTAAAACAATGGTCGAAGGTCGCCGTCGCCAAGCAGCGCGACTGCGTTTCCAGTTCCGACTCGGCGGCCGGGAAGCCCTGGGGTCCGGGACCTCGAGGAGCGCGGGTCGCGCCGCCGCAGGGGCCCCTGTCGGCTCTGGGAGCGTCGCTTCCGGCGCGTCGCTTCCGGCCGGTTGCGGGCACCTCCGTCTGAGGCGCGGCCCGCCCCCGGCCCGGCGGCCGCGTAGAGCGGGGCGGAGGGACGATGGCCGCCCCACGGTGAGGCGCTGCCCGCCCGGCCTCCGCTCCACACAGGACGGAAGGCTCTGCTCGGGCCTTCCTTCCGCGATGCGGCCTCTCCTACACCCCAGCCTCACGCCGAGCCCTCGGGGCGTGGGAGCCCACCCTCCGCGGCCACCAGGCCCCGTGCCGGGCGCGCCCCGGCCAGCAGCAGGCGGCCCCGGTCGTTTCCTCGGAGGCCACCCTCTCCGACGCGCGGTCCGCGGCCCACTTTAAACGCCGCGCGCCCTTAAGGCCCCGAAGTGAGGCGGGGTCTCCCGGTGTGGAGAAGGCGCCGCGCCCCCCACCCGCCCTGCCCGGAGGCCTCGCCCCCTCGGCGCTCCCCGAAGTCGGGTGGCCCACCTAGTGGGGTGGGCGCCCTGTCCACGGCTGCGAGCGGCCCGCGCGGTCGCCGATGCTCGGCGCTCTCCCACCCCCGGCTGTGCACGGAGACCCCGCGCTGGCTGTCTTCCCGCGGCCCCGCTGCGACCGGTGGGTGGAGAGACCGCGGCGTGGGGGAAGGGGCCCCCTGGTCCCGCAGCACGGCGTCCCGTTATGTGCCCCGGAATAGGGGCCGTTTTCCCGCCGGAGAGCAGAGGCTCGGGCGCGCTCGCGCCTGGAAGGCTCCCCCGGCCCTCTAGCTTCCGGGCTCACGTCGGGGGCGGGGGGCGTCCTCGATGCCTCGGGGCTTTGTCTAGGGGTGGGTGGCCAGTTTACGCGGAAAACGCTGAATAAAAAAACGGTAAAGGTTGCCTCCGATGGTCGCCTGTTGCTGTCGGACCCGAGCCCGCCCCGCTGGCCTGTTCCCAGTCCCTCTCCTCCGAGAGGCCCCAGCCCACCCCGGGGCCTTCGCGCTCGCCGTGCCGCTCACGTCCCCGCTCCGAGAGACCCCTCGCCTTTGGGCCGGTAGCAGCGGCCCTTGTTCTCCACCTCGCCGGGCCCGCCCTTTCCCACGAGCCTGCGGCACCCGGAGTCGCCCTCGCACTCCTAATCCCGCCTCGCACACCCGAAGGCGCGGGACGCACCCGCGGCCGCGCGTCCTCGCTGCGGGGGCCGATGGGGGGGGGGGCGTGTCACGGTTCCCGGGCTTCTCGAGTTTTATGCCCCCGAGGCGGACACGGCCCCGGAGCGAACCCAGGTAAAAGACGCCTCATCTGTCCCGGGGCCTAAAGGCACGGTCGCCCACGTATTTTATTGCACTTGATGTTTCTTCTGCCTAGGATTTTAGGAAACTGTCAAGGATAAAGGCTGGCCTCCTGCCAAGTGCCGGTTTTATCGGACTGTTAGTTTGTCAATTGGGGTGGGAAATTCAGGCTCAGGGTTTCCTTCACTCCAGTCATCGGTTGACATCTTTCCCTGGTTTCGCTGGGCCCTGTCCAGGTGACTGCCGTGCAGTACTCCTGCTTGGGCCTTTGACCCAGTGCTCACCGAGGCTGTGAAAGGGGGAGAAGAAAAAACAAAACAAAACAAAACACAAAAAAACCTGTCTAGAGATGGATTCTTTGTTTGGTGGCTTTTTAAAAGTCTTTTTTTTTTTTTTTTAACGGAGTAGAATGTATTTTACCAAAAGTATTTGAACTTGCAAGTAACATTTTAAAGCAGAATGAAACCGTGGTAAATAGTACGAAAAGGGAAATAGAAAGGTTTTTAGGTTAAAGAAATGCACTTTGAGCATAAATTAGAAAATGAAGAGAAACCAAACAAACCCCAAAATATTGATGAATGTGGAACTCTGCCTGAGTTGACCACAGTTGGTAACCTGGCATTTTGACAGAGAGAGAGAGACTGAGCACGAACGAGGGAGGGGCAGAGAGCGAGGGAGACACAGAATCCAAAGCAGGCTCCAGGCTCTGAGCCGTCAGCACTGAGCCCAACACGGGGCTCGAAGTCACAGACCTTGAGATCGTGACCTGAGCCGAAGTTGGACGCTCAACCGACTGAGCCCCCCAGGCGCCCCGATATATTCCTCGTTGGATACTTGGGTAGCGTCCTGTGTCTCGGTCTTAAAAACAAAGTTATTTTAAAACCACGTCTATCCTCTGCGTACAGAGGGCCAACAAGACCTTTGTTCAATTGTTTCTTCAGGATAGATTCCCAGAGATGGAATTTTTGAATTCTACTGTGTAAAAACTGGCAGCCTTTCAGTACATTTTATCTAAAATGCCCTGTTGACAATTTGAACCAATCTAGATTTCCTTACCAAGTGTTTGAGAACATCTTGAGCTCTTTGTTCCAAAACAGGAATTCTTCACCTCAGGCTTTAGAATTTAGGAGTCTGCAACATTGTATGGGGAAATATTTATTTTTATTAGCCTCCAGCCGAACTTTTCTTCAGTGGTGAACGTACCACGGTGACATTAGCAGGTGACGCTAAACAGCATCCGTGGCTTGGTCTCCATTTTGGAGCGTAGGCACCTTCCCAGCTGATCCTGGGCCCCTCACTGCAAAATCGAGCAGAGTCCAGCCCCCTGTTTAGGACGTGTTACCTAGTGCCAGGCTCATACAAAGTAAAGCCACCACGGATCTGTTTCTTGTGGGGTGTCCCCACATTTCAGTAGACCTAGTTTCCTTTTATTTTATTTTATTTTATTTTATTTTATTTTTTACTTTTTTTTTTTTTTTTTTTTTTTTTTTTTGAGAGAGAGCACAAGTTGGGGAGGGGCAGAGAGAGAAGGAGACACAGAGTCCGAAGCAGCTCCAGGCTCCCACCCGTCAGCACAGAGCCCGACACGGGCCTCAAACCCACAAACCGTGTGAGATCATGACCGGAGCTGAAGTCGGACGCTCGACCAAGGCTTTCCTTTTAGTTTCCTTTTAGTCACGCCGTGTGAACATTCTGAGGACAACTCTGGGCAAGGGAGAAGTTAAGAGCTGGTCTAAAGGCAGTTCATTAGCCACCTACTCCATGCTGGGCGGAAAAGGTTATGGTTTCGTTCTTGTTTGTACCCTAATCAGAGAGAGAGCATTGAGACCTTTCTCACCGGTGACCTGGGGACAGCCAGTGCTCCACAGCCACCTGGTCCAGAGTGCCCCACCCTGCTTCCAGGGCGACTCGAAATCCACTATTGGCTCTTAAAGTCAATTCCTTGTTGTCACATCAGGGTCGCTGACCTTTAGTTTTTGCAGGACAAGAACTGCTTCTCTCTGAAAGCTCCTTGAGTCGCGTGGTTTAAGAAAGAAGAACAGGCCGTGGAAACACGAACTGGAGTCCAGGAAGGCGTCTGTGACCCCACCAGGACTTGGGTGAGTGGGAGCTTCTGAGCCCGGGGCCAGCTAACTTCGGCTTCCGTGTGTGATGCCCAGCACAGCTTCTGAGGGTTTTCACTGCCTGCTGCAGCGCGTGTTCTGTTCAAGATTCGAACTGCAGGCTGTTTACTGATGACAGACATTGATGTCACTTGATCCATGTTGAGAAGAGCTTCGTGTCATTGTCCTTTGTGTATTTACTGTGCGTTACTCATTTTTACTGTTGTCTGATGTTGCGCTGTGTGACAATTCCGTGGCTTCTGTATTCATTCTCTTGTGGAGAGACAGTTGGGTTTCTGCCGTGGACATTCCCACGTGTGTCTCGTGGAACCCATGAGCAGGACTTCCTCTAGCTGAAGGGAGATCTGTAGGGTGCAGTTGTTAGTGGGATCATGGTGAAGGTTGCCAAAGTGTGATTTTGATTTTCTCATTCTCCCCTCCCTCTTCCATGGGCCTGTTGACTGTGTCCTGTGGGGAAGGGCTTTCTCCTCATCCCTGTTTATCACTGTGGATGTTTGGGTGCTGGTTCTATTCAGCGGGCTCTAATCCTGTGCTACCATTATTTACTTTCTCTCTCACGCTGCCCCTGGATTTCTCCAGAGGGCGTTCTCTTGTGCTTCCTTCTGTGTCCTTTGGACGTGTCCCCATCATTGTTTGAGCGCTTCCTTTTCTGGCCCAACTAATGCCCCAGCCCTGGAATCGGCCATTTCTCCGAGGAGGCTGGTTCATTTCAGTGGAGAATGAGATTTAGAAACAAACACTGGGCCAGGGTGCTTGCTGCCACTGGGCTGTCACTGCCTCGGGGCCCTCAGCGGCCAGATTGCGCAACAGAGGCAGAGATGTGTCTGTTGTGGACACACACGGTGACTGGGCCTCTATCTGTCCGGACCCTTGAGTGCCGCTGCCTGATTCCTCCGCTCCTCTCAACGCCACTGTCCGTTTCACCCTTCCTGCTCCCTGTGTCTGTGCCTGGTCTGAAGACACCGAGGTCTCACTCCCGTTAGCTGCAATATACTGCCTTATTGCCCAACCCAGAATTCCTGACCCATGACTCAAGAAAAAAGCCTACCTTTTAGAGTTCAGTGTTTGCTTAGGATTCTTTTGGTCTTGAATCTGAGCACGTGTATTTTAAATACCATGTTCAGAAGGTCCTTGGGTGGGTTCCTTATCTCCTCTCTTCAGTGTGACTGTGTTATTTATTTGATTTGTGGTTTGGCTCATATATTTTTGTTTGTATCTCACTTTATTTTTCGTAAGTATTTATTTTGAAAGCGAGACAGTATGTGTGCCTGTGTGTGTGAGCGGGGGAGGGGGAGAGAGAGAGAGAGAGAGAGAGAGAATCCCAAGCAGGTTCCACACTGTCAGCCCAGAGCCCGATGCAGGGCTCAAACCCACAAGCCCTGAGATTGTGACCTGAGCCAAAGTCCAGAGTAGGATGCTTAACTGATTTGGCCACCGAGGCGCCCCCGTATCACACTTTAGAAATTTTATTGATTGTGATGAGGGAGCATAAGGCAAGCTGAGGGCAAATCGCAAGCTAGTATGCCCCCCCTCCTCCGGCACCAGGTGGGATACGTGTGACATTCCTCAGGCACTGCCGACCACCCAAGGACAAAGGAGAGGACAGAAAACCAATGGTAGCTGATAGAGATCTCAGTCCTGCAGGACCGGAGTCTCCATCAGTTTACAAATATCTTAGTAAATTACAAGAAAAAGGCAATCTTGCCAATAGCCTAACCTCCAGAAACCTGTAGGCTCAGTGCCCTGGAGACTCAGCATCACTCTCCCCTCCATGGTGATGGGGGAACAGAGGCGAGAAGGAAGTGGCAGGTCCGTTAAATTTCCTTAAATGTCCTTATGACCCGCAGCCCATTGACAGATACTTGTGGCAAATACAGAGCAAGACATTTCTCCAGAAACCCCTACTGTCCTAATGTTAATGTTCACTAGAGAGAAAACAGCCCTAGCTTGACAATAGCAAGGCGTCTGGTATCCCGGGAGTCTTCTTTAGTACATGAAAATCCCTTTAGAAACTTCCTCTCATCTTTCCCTCCCCCAACGCCACAGTATATAGCCAGTCACTCCGTACAACCCCAGTGCAGTGCTTTCTGCCCACGGGTCCTGTCCCTGAGCTTTAATAAAATCACCTTTTTGCACCAAAGATGTCTCAAGAATTCTTTCTTGGCCGTCAGCTCTGAACCCCTGTCACCGCAAAACCCCATCGTTTTGACTTTATTTTATTTATTTATTTTTTTTAACATCTATTTATTTTTGAGACCGAGAGAGAGAGAGAGCATGAACAGGGGAGGGTCAGAGAAAGAGGGAGACACAGAATCTGAAACAGGCTCCAGGCTCTGAGCTGTCAGCACAGAGCCCGACGTGGGACTCGAACCCACGGACCGCGAGATCATGACCTGAGCCGAAGTCGGAAGCTTAACCGACTGAGCCACCTAGGCGCCCCACTTTTTTTTTTTTTTTAAACGTTTATTCATTTTTTGAGAGAGAGAGAGCGCGCCTGAGCCGGGGAGGGGTGGAGAGAGAAGTAGACACAGAATCCAACGCAGACTCCAGGCACCGAGCTGTCAGCACAGAGCCCGACGCGGGGCTCAAACTCATGAACTGTGAGATCGTGACCTGAGCCCAAGTCGGACGCTCAACCGACTGAGCCCCCCCCCCCCCAGGCACCCCTGACTATTTTTGGTTTTTAAGCATTTAAGCGTTCATATAGTTCCAGAAGTCACAACTATCTGAACAGGTGCATTTGAGAACTTGTCCTCTGTCGTCCCCTCTCCGTGCCCCCTCCTGGCCCACCACCAGTCTCCTTTGTCTTGGGCTTACCCTCCCGCGTTTCTAGTTGCTCGGTGTAATTTAAAAAAAATTTTTTTTTTCAACGTTTTTATTTATTTTTGGGACAGAGAGAGACAGAGCATGAATGGGGGAGGGGCAGAGAGAGAGGGAGACACAGAATCGGAAACAGGCTCCAGGCTCTGAGCCATCAGCCCAGAGCCTGACGCGGGGCTCGAACTCACGGACCGCGAGATCGTGACCTGGCTGAAGTCGGACGCTTAACCGACTGCGCCACCCAGGCGCCCCACTCGGTGTAATTTTAATATTGTTGTCTTGTGCGTGATCTGAACTCAGCCTGGGTGCGTCAGAACCTTCCCTCTGTGGCGTTCTGTGGCTCATCACTGTGTGTCTCCGTGTGGGTTTCTTATTTATTCTTTTTAAGGTATATTCTGACTCCAGAACTCAGATTTTCTGTTATTTCTCAAAGTTTTGTCTTCTTTATATCTATTTTTTTTTAAGATTTTATTTTTAAGTAATATCTACACCCAATGTGGAGCTTGAACTCACAACCCCAAGATCAAGAGTTGCACGCTCCCCATTAGGGGCACCTGGGTGGCTCAGTCAGTGAAGCGTCTGACTTCGGCTCAGGTCATGATCTCGCGGTCCGTGAGTTCGAGCCCCGCGTCGGGCTCTGGGCTGACGGCTCGAAGCCTGGAGCTGCTTCGGACTCTGTGTCTCCCTCTCTCTCTGCCCCTCCCCTGCTCATGCTCTGTCTCTCTCATTCTTATAAAAAATAAATAAACATGAAAAATTAAAAAAAAAAAAAGTTGCAGGCTCTCCCAACTGAGCTAGTAGGCACCCCTTCTTCTTCTCTTTTTTTCTCTGCTGGAAATTTCTTTCTTCTTATTTTTTCCATGCTTGGGTTAACGTCTCTTTAATATTTTAATTTCATGTCTCTGTGCTGCATTCCAGATAATTTCCTCAGATATTTTTTCAAATAACTTTTTATTCAGCTCTAATCATTTCTGTTTAACCCATCACTCGAGTTTTTTATTTCAAAATTTTAAACTTTTTATTTTCAGAAACTTGTAGACTTGCAGAAGAAAAAACTTTACCTGTGTACCCATCTCCCAGCCCCTCCTGCTGACGTCTTACCTGAGCTTAGTTCGATTTAGTAAGTAGTCCAGGAGTATCGTCCCAGATCTTAACTTGGGGACAAGACCACTGTCTAATCTGCAGACTGTACTCAACTTCAGCCAATATGCCATGGGTGTCCCTTTTCTGGTGGGTGGTCCTGTCTGGGGACAATCCCACGTTGCATTCAGTGACCGCGTTCCCCCCCACCCCGTGGTCTTTGCCGGTGGTCTTGACCTTTGTAATGCGCGTACTTTGGGGTGTGTCTGACGTGTGCTCGCGACTACATTGCGGTTGTGTGTCTGTGGGCACCAACACCACGGCAATACCACATTCTTCTCAATGGATCGGGGCAAACGTGGACTCTCATATCTAGTGATTTCAGCTTCGGCAGCTCGCTTCCGGTGCCAGTGTCTCAGGGTGAAGTCAGGCCTCCTGCCTGTGACTAGTCTGCACCTGCCGGGGAGCAGTGTGGACGCAAGCGCGCCCTTGCTTCAGCTCCGCAGGCGGGTGACTCCTCTCTGGACATTCCGTCTACCCCTCCCCCCCCACCCCCCCTCCGTGGCGTCTGCCTGGCCCTCCTGTCCTTCTGAGAGCTTTAGGACCTGGGGCCCTGGGCTCCACCTGTCCCTCCCTGCAGTGGCCAGGCTGCCGCCCCTCCCCCACTGGCCACCCCCTCTCAGCGGTGATCTTTGATCTTTGATCTGCATCCATTGATCTCAACCCGCCAAGGTCTTCAGGCCTGAATTGAGGAAGCTTTTCTTGGGAGCAGATCTGTGGGTGTGGCTGGGAGCAGCCCCCGGCTCCTTTTGTGGGGGTCCTGCCCTGAGCTGGAGCTTCCTAGGAGCTTCTGGTGAGATTTCGCTCCTGCTGCCCTGTTCTGGATTTCCAAGGGCCCTTTCCTGCTTGTATCTCCTTGTGGCTGGGCACTTCTCTCTCACGCGCCCCCTTCTGGGACTGACCTTCCTCCCGCTCTGCCCTCCTTCCAGCCCCTTCCTCACGTTTCCTGTCTTGCTCATGTCCCAGCAGGCGGCTCAGCTGCAGTCTCTGTTCAGACCTCTCCCCGGGGCCTCGATTCCTTACTTGAGGTCTCTCCTTTGCCTGTTGAGTTCTCCAGAGAACGTTCCTCTGGTGGTTTGCCTGGCCACTCTGTGGTCCTCGGCCCCTGCTTCCCCCGCCTATCTCAGCCCCCACCCCAGGCCCCCGGAGGAGTTGAGTTCTTCACTCTCCTGACCAAGCCCCTTGACACCCTTGCCGCCTTCTGTCCCCCACCTCCGCGGGTTTCCGCCCCACCAAACGGAAGCAAGCGAGGCCGGGAATCCCTGTGTGATTAGCGAGTGTTGATGAAGGACAGAGGCAGAGCCAGCGTCTGTTCTGCCCTGGACGGCCCCAGACCTGGTGTTCATATCTGGACTTGGTGTGGGAGCCTTGCACACTTGGAGGGCCCCTGCCCCTCTGTCCCCCCGGCCGGACGTGAGGCCAGGGGTCTGCCCGTCCCTGTGCCCAGTTGGCACGTTGGTTTGTCACCGGACTGGGTGGACTGTCTTTGGAGATGTTGATGGTCCTAAAAAGACCATGCACTGGAAGGTGAGTGTTTTGTGGTGGCCTGGGCCTCTGCCCCTGGCTGCCTGTGCCTTGTTCTGGACATGGGGGATGGGATCACTGGTGTGTTGGCCGCTGGTCTGCTGGCCGGGGCCTGAGTTCCCTGCTCGGCACTCTTTTACACTCTTTTGCACTCTTTTGCACTCTTTTGCACTCTTTTGCACTCTTTTGCACTCTTTTACACTCTTTGGAGGAATATGGAAGAATGTGGATGGTCTTGGGGGGGACAGCCTTGTGGGTAAGCGTGTCATAGATTGCCTTCCACCGCTTGGTTTTGTCGTTTCGGGGCTCCGGCAGCTGGAAGGTTTCCCCGTTGGCTGTGGTGGCGGAGGCCCGCCCCCCGCTGCTGTGCGCCTCGGCCCCGCTGTGTGCTCTCACTTGTTTCTGCTTCAGGAGACATTTAGGTTGTGTTTTGCTTTTGTTCTGCTAGTAACAGAACTGCGGCATTAACCCCGCCCTCAGGCGACGTGTTTGAGGTTTCTGAAGGGCTCACAGCACCCCCCTTCCCCCCAGGACCACCACCTCTGCTCCTGCAGCCAACCCCAGCCACAGCCTCGTGGGTTGTCCCTCCTTTCGTTGCCTCCTGTCACTCGCAAAGACTCTAGAAAGGACACATCCACACCGGTTAGGTCTGGAACCTGTTTGCATCTGTGCTGTGGGTGTTTTCAGCCTGGGACAGTCAGTAACAACTGTGGGTGCCTGGGTGGGAGCGCGACGGCTCTCTGTTTGGCCGCGGTTGAGAATCAGCCAAGGAGCTAGAAACCATTCTGGTGCTTGGGCCGCACCCATGAATCCCTGTGCTCACTGGTGTGCGCAGAGCTGGGCCCCCCGTGGCCAGCTTGTTTGAGCTCTGGGCGTGCGCGTGTGCAGCCAGCATTGAGGGCCTCCCCTGGCCTGCCGGAAGGGTGCGTCCCGTGTGACCCTACGGGAGCAGAGCGGCAGGACACAGGAGCAGCAAGGGCGAGTGAAGTGGCCAGGTGCAGGTTGGTGCTGTGTCTTTGGACGCCATAGGCACCCATGACCAAGGTGTCACTCCCGGGCGCAGGTCCAAAAGAAACACACGGAAAGACGCGCACAGAATGTTCACGGGGGCACAGTGTGAATGTTTGTTAGCAGAATCCTCGTGATTCAGGCATGAGGATTGGAGCCGTGTCCTTCATTTAAAATCTACTTTCTTGTTAAAGGTTTATATACAAAGAGAATACGTGTGTCATCCAAATGGTTGTTTCTGGTTTCTTAGGTCTCTGACGATGACTGGGGGCAGGGATGGCCCCGGCTTCTCAGTGGGAGCAAGACTGGACTTTGTTAAGGAGGAGAGTGAGGGTGGCACCACAGCTCCTCCCAGGATGTTGGGAGATCCTCAGAGGGAACCCCGGGCGGGGGGGGCGGGGGATGCTGTGAGGGGACCGCTCCCCGCCAGCCTGTTCTTCGCTGGGACTGTGGGTCCCGTGGGTGCCTCTGGATCGGTAGCCCCTTGGGCTGCAAACTAGGTGGACCTTGGAATCTCGGCAGCGGCTTCAGGGCCCCTGTGCCAAACGCTGCCCCCAGATCACAGAGGCGGCGAGGGGCAGGGAGACAGGGCGGGCAGCCAGGCCCCGGGCAGAAGGGTTCCTCACTCCCTCTGTAAGGAGCCAGGGTCTGGGGTCTGGAGGCCTTTGGGGTTGTGGTGCTCCCTCTGCTCTCAGAGACCCTGTGCCACAGCAGTGGGCTTGTCCCTGCATTTCACCTGCACCTGCAGCCAGACCCTGGTTCCAGGCGGGGGGGGGGGGGGGGGGGGGGGGGGGGGTAGAGCACGGACTCCCCACGTCCCCTCTGGCCCGGCCAGTCTAGCTGCAAGGAACCCACGGACACGTCGTCACTCCGAACAAGACAGTGGGACCGGGCTGGGGAAGAGCAAGCAGAACACGAGTGTTGCAGTCAGCGTCCGGAGCCCTTGAGCTCGTCCTCGGGTGGGGACGGTGGGGGCCCACGGAAGGGCTGGCACCCCTCGTCATGACCCGCGCTGCACTCTGGGGAGGCTGTCCCGGTGCAGCGGGGGTTGGGGTGCGTGCGGGCAGACTGGGCAAGACGAGGGCGCTCGCTGGGGCTCGTGGCTCCGGGCTCGTGGACAGGGGGAGGGACACCAGGGGCTGAGGCAGGGCAGGGGGAGGATGGCCGCGTCTCTGGTGCTGCCTCTGCCTGGGGAAAAGGACAGGAACCAGCTTTGGGCTGTGGGGAAGTCAGAATCTGAAGTGCTGGGAGCCTTTGGGCACGTGCCTGCAGAGGCGCAGGGGCCGGTGGGGCAGGTGGGGCAGTGGGCAGCCTGAGCCCCGAGGGATGTCCTGCTGGAGGGGCCGGGGCTGGAGAGGGGGGTGCGGCTCCCGCTGGCGGTGTGGCCGCCCCAGCGCCCGCCCCCCCCCCCCCCGCCCCGCTCCACGTGCCTGGATGTTAGGGATGAAATATGACGGACATCCTTTTAGATGTGTGACTGAGTTCCCCCAAACAGAGGAAACCCCAGGCGTCAGAAACTGAGGGAACAGGAAATCCGAGTGGCCAGCCCATCGGAGGCCACCTGGGGTCCCGGGTTTGATGTCATTGGGGAAGGAGATGGGACCCTGGCCCTCCTGAGACGGGGCAGGCAGTTGTCACTGGGACTCTGCTTAAAGCGGGGACTTGGAGAACTGGCCAGCCCGCCACGAGAGAAGCCGGGTGTGACTCAGCCTGTGATCCCTGGAGAGAGGCCGGAGGCTCACCTCAGGAGCCATGCCCACAGGTCTGAGACTGGCAGGTGTGGGTTTCGTATGCCGCAGGGTTCATCTAGAAAGTAGCGGAAAGGGGCGCCTGGGTGGCTCAGGGGTTAGGCACCTGACTTCGGCTCAGGTCATGATCTCACAGTTCATGAGTTCGAGTCCCATGTCGGACTCACTGCTGTCAGCACAGCACCTGTTTCACATCCTGTCTCCCCCTCTCGCTGCCCCTCCCCCCTCTCAAAAATAAACAGTAAAAAAAGATAGAAAGGATAAAATGGGTCCTGGGCCAGTGACACCCCTGGGGCACGTAGCAGCAGCAGACCCCAAGCCCTCAACTCTGGAAGTAACCCCCTCGGCCCAGGGTGTGTGGGGTCCCCGCGTATCAGGATCTGACGGGAGGTGACCGTAAAGTGCAGTCCAGCCCCAAGGCCAGAGTCTGCTGGCACACACAAGACACCAGGGTGACCTCGCTAAGGTCCCGGGTGATGAGCTGTGAGAGACCGTAAAACAAAAGATACAGGAAGGGATCGAAAGCTTAAGGAAATAACAAGACACCAGGGGCGCCCCGCGGGCTCAGCCAGCGGAGCGTGCAACGCTTGGTTTCAGGTTGTGAGTTTGAGCTCCACGTTGGGCATAGAGTTTACTTAAAAATAAAAATTGTTTTAAGTTGGGACACCTGGGTGGCTCAGTCGGTTAAGCGTCCAACTTTGACTCAGTCATGATCTTGCGGTTTGTGGGTTCGAGCCCCACGTCAGGCTCTGTGCTGACAGCTCAGAACCTGGAGCTGCTCTGGATTCTGTGTCTCCCTCTCTCTCTCTGCCCCTCCCCCGTTCATGCTCTGACTCTCTCTGTCCCAAAAATAAATAAAGGTTGAAAAAAAATTAAAAAAAATAAAAATAAAAATTGTTTTAAGTTGGGACACCTGGGTGGCTCAGTCGGTTAAGCGTCCGACTTTGACTCAGTCATGATCTTGCGGTTTGTGGGTTCGAGCCCCACGTCGGGCTCTGTGCTGACAGCTCGGAACCTGGAGCTGCTCTGGATTCTGTGTCTCCCCCTCTCTCTCTGCCCCTCCCCCGTTCATGCTCTGTCTCTCTCTGTCTCAAAAATAAATAAACGTTAAAAAAAAATTTTTTTTAAGCTGGATAAAATATTCAAAGCCAGGTGAGGTGTGGGAGAGCGGCAGTGTGCATTACAGCAGCCGGGACCACAGAATGGGCGGGAAGGGGCAGAGCCCTCGGGATGGCTTCGGGGACCTGGTGGCAAAGGCCGGGGCGGGGTCGTCCAGGTCTTCGTGCACGCGGTGGGTGCCTGGGGAAGGCCAGGTGTGGAGGCTTTGGTTTTCAGCACCTTGGGGAGGAGGCTTGGGAGCTGTCGGGGCTCCCGGTCTTCCGTGGCAGTCAGACTAGCAAGCAGATGTGAAAACAAGACCGAAGTTCCATATTTGCATTTTCAGAGTTACTTCAGATCGGTGCCTGAAACTTTTAAGGACATTCAAATGTTCACCATCAGGAACGCATTGTCTTTGCTTAACAGCTTGAGCCTGCGTCCCCTGACGAGGGGCGAGTGACGGCCACCACTCTCCGGGTGGTGCAGGCCTTCACCCGGGAGCCAGCCCGACCCATGCTGCCCACGGTCCGGAGGAGACAAGCATGTCAGCCTCAGCAAAACCCTCGGCGCTGGCAGAGCTGGCCCCTGGCCCCGAGGACCAGCCCAAGGGGAAGCCGCTCCTCGGCTGGGGCTCTCTCTTCGGCCCCCGCAGCGAAAAGATTGTTTTCAGCAGGAGCGAGGGCGCCCCCGAGGAGAACGTGCTCACCATCACCATCACGGAGACCACGGTCATCGAGTCGGACCTGGGCGTGTGGAGCTCCCGGGCTCTGCTCTACCTGACGCTGTGGTTCTTCTTCAGCTTCTGCACCCTCTTTCTCAACAAGTACATCCTGTCCCTGCTGGAAGGGGAGCCCAGCATGCTAGGTAACGCGGGTCCCCCGCCTCCGGGGCTGAGGGCCAGGCCCGCGTGCTCACCGGTCGGTGCTGTCTCCACGCGGGAAGCACACGGAGGAGCCCACAGCCCCTGGGAAGGAGGGCGCCGAGGGTTCGGGATGGGAGCTGTGTCTGCGCCGCAGAACGGCTTGTCCTGTCTGCACACCAGCAAGGGAAGTAGTTCTCCCCTTAGAACTTGACCCTCTTCTCTGCCTCCTTCAGGTGCTGTGCAAATGTTGTCAACTACGTTTATTGGATGCATTAAAATATTTGTTCCTTGCTGTTTGTATCAACACAAAACCCGGCTTTCTTATCCCCCCAATTTCATCATGATCATGCTGTTTGTGGGTCTAATGAGGTAAGGAATCTGACATTTTGGTTGAGAGTTGAAGTTTTTTATGTGCATAAACTGTCTTTGCCGTCACGAAGTGGGAGACCAGCTGGTGATCACGTGTGTTTTCATTGCACGCTTTATATAATCGTCAGGACTGTCTAGATATTAGGACGACAAACGTATTGGTTCTGTGGATCTGGGTGCAATCAGGTTCTTTCTGGGACAGCCATGAGTGTAATTTAATAATGGTTTGAGAGACACGCCCTCCCCTCCCTGGGCCTGCTGCACCTTGCAGGTGGGACCTACTTCCCACAGGGCCCTTCACCTTCACCTTCATGGGAGGCGAGGAAGGTGGGGAGCGGGGGAGGAGGGCGAACAGCCAGCTCCTCAGAAGGTCTGTTGTGCAGCTACAAATGGACTCCTCAGTCCTAATGACACTTTGGGCTTATTTGTAGGTTTGCGACGGTGGTTTTGGGTCTGGTCAGCCTGAAAAACGTGGCGGTTTCGTTTGCTGAAACAGTGAAGAGCTCTGCTCCCATCTTCACCGTGATTATGTCCCGGATGATCCTCGGGGAGCACACGGGTAAGCCTGCCTGGGTGGGGGCTGGGGCGCTACGCCAGGGTGAACGGTTCCACAGCCCCCCTGGAACGTTCTCCTAGCCCGGTCATGAGTGCCTCACGAGTTCACTTCAGCAGGTGTTTGTTCACCTTGGCTGACGCACAGAGGCCTCTGGTTGGTGGGGACATGGGAGCTGGGGAAAGAAGTAATGGTCACTTGTCCCAGGAAGACCACCTTCCGTGTCATGCGAGGTGGCCCCTGGTGACACCCTTGCCCAGGTCAGCCACCTCCTGTGTCCTTCCCCGGCTCCTCCGACAGCCTCCCGTTCGTCACTGCTTCTCAGCCTCACTTCTCCACCCTCCATGAGGCCCATCAAATCGGATTTATCCACAGATCCCAACCCTCAATGACCGGCAGACTGTTTCTGACTACACATCACACACACGTGTCCCTGTTTCTCCTGCCAGCCTTTTGAAACGCAGCCTGTCCAGTATCGTTCCGTGAAAATAACCAGAGTGCAGAATAGTGCGCATCTAGGAGCAGTACCGACACGAGTTTAGATGCAGATGCACATCTGCTTCAATTAAGAAAAGGACAAGATTAGGGGCGCCTGGGGGGCTCAGTCGGTTAAGCGTCCAATGTCGGCTCACGTCATGATCTCACAGTTAGTGAGTTCAAGCCCCACATCGGGTTCTGTGCTGACAGCTCGGAGCCTGGAGCCTGCTTCGGATTCTGTGTCTCCCTCTCTCTCTGCCCCTCCCCTGCTTGTGTTCTCTCTCTGTCTCTCTCTCTCTGTCACTCTGTCTCAAAAATAAATAAATAAACTTAAAAAAATCTTTAAAAAGAAAGAAAGAAAAGGACAAGATCCCACAATAAGGCCGATGGGGGAGGAAGGACAGGGCTGAGCGCCCTCCCAGATGTGCCTCTGGAGCCCCACAGGCGTTTTAGGTGATGTGAGACCATCTGATCGGAGGGTAAACAGCAGCTCCTAGAAGTCATAAGCGACATGAAACAAACGAACTGGGTTTCATATCGAGCCGGTGGCTCGGCCACACTAAAAACTTTATTCCGGCAACTTTAAAATGCCACGATTTGGCCTCTAGCTGTGGCGGCTAAGCCTGTAGCGAGTCAGCTAGTTCCCTTAGCGAGGTCAACGACGACATCTTGGTGACAGTCAGCAAAAAGAATCAGTTGGGGAGAATGACCGAGGGACCAGGGTTTCGGAGCCGAGGGTCACCTGCGGACGGGACCCCGATGTGCGGCGCCCTCCCCACAGAGGCGTTTGCTGGTTCTCGAGCGCTGGCTGGCACGCCAGGTAGACCAGCCTCGTGGGGCTGCAGGGCCGAGGGCAGGCGGGGCCTGCCAGCAGAGGGGGATCTCCGGCAAAGCCCTGGGCTCTTACCCCGGACCCCGAGCGCGCCGACGCCCGCGGACGCCTCCCAGCAGCGAAAGCAAGTCCTTCTAAGGGTGAAACGGCACTCGCGGCCACCGGCCCTCTAGGATCCACGCGGACCGTCTGTCACACGACACGCATTGCCAGGCCGGCCAGAGGACAAGACCACGTGCGGAGCCGAGAGGGCGCTGGTGGCTCCCTAGGGACCTGAGTCTGGACAGCATTGTCCTGTGCCGGGAGGTGGCCTTGGTCTCCAAAGGTCGGCGTGGACCTCTTAACACGGAAGACTTTTTCCCTCGTCTATTTTGAATTTCAGAGTAAACTAAATAATATCTGAAATCAAAGTACCTGGGAGGCCCCCCACCCTGTTCCCAAAGTGGCTGTGCTGTGCCTTTCCATCATGCTCCACGGGCTTTTTTACCATTGGGTCACGTTTCCTGGATTTCAGAATGCAGCAGAGGAGTAACCTCCACTTAGAGTGAAGAACGCAGACCGTGTAGGGGTCTCCCTGCAGCAGGGCCCCCCGCCCCCAGCTCCCCTTTCTGACAGACTGGTCCAAAGACCATTCATCCACCCTCATCCTCGGTGCTGGCCAGGGAGGGGCTTTGGGACCCAGGGCCCCAGCCTCATGCGTCCTGCCCCGGCCCCAGGCCCAGCAGTCGTGCCTCGAGGAAGAGGAAGGGTCCGTGCGGTGCCTGGCTTGGGAGAGGGTGATGGCTTGGGGGCAGGCGTGCACTTTGATCCTCTGTGTTTCTCCAGTGTAAAGACTCAGTAGCTACATGTTTTCGAGTTAAAGTGAAAGAGGCTTTCACGAGGGGCATAAAAATGGCCTCGCACCCAGAAGCGATGTCGCAGCGGGCAGGCTGGTGGCCGCAGCCCTTGTGTGTTTTGCCCTTTCCAGGGCTGCTGGTCAACCTCTCGCTCATCCCCGTCATGGGAGGCCTGGCACTGTGCACGGCAACGGAGATAAGCTTCAACGTCTTGGGGTTTTCGGCCGCACTGTCCACCAACATCATGGACTGGTGAGTCAGGAAGAGCATGGGGACACGTGGTGTGATGGGGATGATGGACATTGAAATCCAGATTGACTGAGAATTATGTCCCGTAATTCAGAGCCGGGCCCAACTGATGCCGCCTTTTCCTAAATACCAAAATACCTCGTATCCCAGTAATGTAACCTTTTCTTAAAAAAACAGCCAGAATTTGACAATACATGGTCTTGGTATTAAGAACACACATCTTAGGGACATGGTTAGCTAACGGAGGCCAAATGCACAGAGCTAGCGGGCCCAGGTAACGTCACAAGAGTAACGCCCCTTGTGAGTAACGTTACAAGAGTAACGCCCCTTGTGAGTAAACACGTATGTGTTCAGCTAAGCCAAGTGGAAGAGGCCGTCCTACAGCGGGAACAAAGGGGCAGTTTCTGGCCTGGTGGCTGTCTGTGCCCCGAGGGCCGTGAGAGGCCGTGCCCACAGGGGAAGCCCGTGTCAGGTGCCCGAGGAAAAGCACCACATGGGAGGTTCCTTGTCCTACAGCAGGAAGGGGCTGGCTGTTGTGTTCTGGATCGCTCCTTGGATAGTGTACAGCTGCCATCCCGCATCCAGGCTGTGGTGTTGAAGTCCATACTTAGGCATCGGCCAGACCTGCTCTTTGAGAATTACCAGTTGCTTCTGGGGTCTGTCCTGTCTCTGGGAAAGAGAGGAAGTGACCACACAAATGTCCAGGAGTTTATCATTGCTTTACTGTTAAAGTTACATTGCTTTACTGTTAAAGTCGGACAGCCTCACCCTGAGGTTTTCCATCCCACCACCAAGTAAACATTTAAAAGTCACCTTTAATTTCATTTTCTGACACGCAGATGTATTTCCTTCTGGCTTTTCCTACCTGCACTTATAGTTCCTAGAAATCGAATACAGGCTCATCATGCATTCTGTGTGTATTTCTCCTCCAGTGGAAAGGCCCAGTAGCTGCTGGTTTTTGCATTAAAGTAGAGCGGCTTTCATGAGGGATATGCTCTACTCCCTCTGCGTGACCCTGTGGGCCTCGTGTGCTGCCACCAGGGGCTCTCAGAAGCCTGGACCCTGTGACCGCCTCCTCGTATGGCATACAGATGCCTGCGAGTTAACGAGTCTGTTTAGATGCGCATGGAGCGTCTCTTCACACGAGGCTCCCATTTAGGTTTTTGACCATCACGAAGGCTAAATTCCCATCAGAGAGACGAGCCCATGACGTGGATCAGGGCTCTCGATCCTCACTGCCAGCGTTTCCCAAAACGATTGTTTTGGAGCAAGAGCTTCGCCTTCTGGAGCCCAGAGAGCAGTCACCAGTGGGCGTGCCAAGCCCTTTGGTTTCTGGGGAAGGTGGGCACAGTTTCATCTTCTCATTGGCCATGTGTGGGTTTTCCCTGTGGTTTGTCCCATTCTGGAGTTTTGTCCATATTTTTTCCACCAGAGTCTTCATGTGCTCAGACTGTTTTGTTCACTCGCTCTCACACGTGGAGTCCCCAGGTGCCCGGCCCATGGCAGTTACTGATTTATGGGAACTCTTGGTTCAAGGTGGGGTTTTGTGCAGCACTGAGAGCAGGGACTTTGGGATCCTTTGACACCTGAGAGCTAGGTAACGTCAGGTACATTGCTCAACCTGAGTGCCTCAGTTTACCCATCCATAAAGGGGCCAGGCCTGGTGACCCCCTCACAGTGAAGTGACATCCAGGAGCCCCCCAAGCATGGGCCCGGCTCACAGCCGACATCCAGGGGCCATCCCCGAGGGGCCGCCGTCGTCCCTGCTTAGGAAGGACGCAAACACTTGGTCCAGTCGAGGTCTGTGCTAACTTCTCGTATCGCCAGGTAACCTCTTCTTTTCTTTATTCTAGTTTGCAAAATGTTTTTTCAAAAAAGCTCCTCAGCGGGGACAAATACAGGTTCTCGTAAGTATCGTTAGCCCGTGAAACTCCCAATTTCGTAGGCCCGAGAGGACTCCCTGCCCTTTTGAAGTTTCAGAATCCCCTGTAGACCTGACACCTTTCCCCCTTCGGCTTAAGTGGCTTTTAAAAGTACTCTGTGAAACGTTAAAAAATAAAATAAAAATATAAATAAATAAATAAATAAATAAATAAATAAATAAATAAATAAATAAAAGTACTCTGTGGACGGGGCGCCTGGCTGGCTCAGTCAGAAGAGCCTGTGACTCTTGAGATCTCGGGGTCATGGGTTTGAGACCCACGCTGGGTGGAGAGATTACTAAAGAAATAAATAAACTTAAAAAAACAAGTAAGTAAAAGTGCTTTGTGGAAACTTGGAAGAAAAACCCCACCTGTTTTCAGCTGCCCTGCCAAGGCACCCCAACGGCCGGCTCGTTCGCGGCTGCCCTGCAGGGTGTGCCAGGCGCGCGGCCGGCAGGCACACGGGCCCTCTCTGGCGCCCGGGTTCTCTAGAGCATTCTCGCTGTGAACTGTCTGGTTGAAAGCCGGCCTCCGCCGTGCAGAGAGAGCGTCAGGCATGTGTGTTGCCCCCGCAGGGCCGCGGAGCTCCAGTTCTACACCAGCGCGGCGGCCGTGGCCATGCTGGTCCCCGCCTGGATCTTCTTCATGGTGAGTGTCAGGGCGCCGCTCGGCACCCAGGCTGCCGTTGCCACCAGCCATCCGGGGGTGGAGGGGTTTCACTTGCCGGTCCCGTGGGTAGCTCCTTGGCGTGGTGGCTTCGTGGCATCGTTCACGAAGGCTCAGCAGGGTGCACTTGAGGAGGAGGGAGACCGGTGGGAGCCGAATCTGGTGCCCCAGGAGGCCAAGCCATAGCTGAGGGAGTTTCCTGAAAATCTTTGTGTCAGGGTGTTTCGGCTTGCTCGTTTTAGTATTATTATTTCAAAGTCACGCGTGCCCGCCTAGAGCAATCAGCAGGGCAGGTGTACATGAACAAGAGAGGAGGTCTGTCTGGTGAGCCCTCCTGGACCCCCTCCTACAAAGCCCCTTTCCAGATGGGTCTGCGTAGCTAGGAATGTACTCAGGTACATGTGTGTCATGTGATCTCACCAGTCTTATAAAAGCGTATGTATCTGTCCAAGCAGACCTTTTTTTTTTTTTTTTTTTAAACACAAATGGAACTGGGCTATTCTGTCCTATTCTTGTGCTCCAGAGCCCAGCTATGCCCTGATCTGTCACTGCCCCCTCGACAGACACCTGACTGCTTGGTGCATTTCACACGGAACTGGAAGTTTCTTGTGTCTTTAGCAGATAAAGGTGCTTTTCTTGGGAGGCACCTGGGTCAGTCAGTTAAGCGTCCAACTCTTGATCTTGGCTCAGGTCATGATCCCAGAGTCATGAGTTTGAGCCCCAGGTCGGGCTCTGTGCTGACAGTTTGGGGCCTGCTTGGGATTCTGTCTCTCCTCACTGCCCTTCCCTGTTTGTTCTCTCTCTCTCTCTCTCTCTCTCTCTCTCTCTCTCTCTCAAAATAAGTAAATAAACATTAAGAAATTTAAAAACAAATAAATAAACTAAATTACCTTTTTTAAAAAGAGGTGGTTTTCTGGGATCCACTTTTGGAATTGGAATGATTGAAAGAATGTGTATATCTAAAAATATGTGTATTGTGGTAAAATCTATGTAAACGTAAAACTTATGATTCTAACCGCTTTAAACTATATGTCAAGTATGTTCAGGCTGTCACACAAGCATCCTCACCATCTATTTGTAGACTTTAATTATCTCAAACTGAATCTCAGTCTCTGTTAAACACTAACTCCCCATTTCCCCCCATAGGGGAAGCGAGACTCTACCTCTCCTCCTAGGGTGTCCGGCCGGACGATTCGCGGGGACAAGCCCACAGCCCGAGTAACATAAGCTTTATGTGACACGGGAGCCTCGTAAAGAAGCCAAGACGGGAGCGCTCACGCGCCAGGCTGAGCAGGGAGAGGCGACTGCGGGAAAGTAGGCTGTGTGTGGGGTGGAGGCAGGTGAGGGCGACCTTAACGAGGTCCGCCGGGCTCGGGACCCTGGCGATGCGCGCGTTCCTTTCCCCCTGCTGCGTGGGCGTCCTCCACGTGGGGCCTTTGTCCCTGCTTCTCAGGGAGAGAAAGCGACGCCAGAGCCCTTCTTGCTCCTGTGTTTTGAGGGTCTTCAGCTCAAAATAACCCTGATGCCAAAGTGGCGTATTTGTGAACTCCTTCACCCCTCCCCCAGCCCCTGGCATCTACCCTGTGCTTTCTGTCCCAATGGATCTGACGACTCTAGGTCCCTCATGTAAGTGGAATCCTATGGGATTTGTCCTTTGGGGACGGGCTTATTTCACTGAGCATGATGACCTCGAGGTCCATCCACTCTGTAGCAGGTGCTGGCATTTCCTCCTTTTTAAGGCTGGGTGATATTCTGCTGTGTGTTGGGACCACGTTTTGTTCATCCACCCGTCTGTTAACGGACACCTGGGTTCCTCCCACATTCTGGCTCTTGTGGACAGTCCTGATGTGAATGTGAACATGCACACACCAGTTCAAGACCCTGCCTTCAGTTCTTTGGGGCGTGTACCCAGAGGCGGGATTGCTGGTTCTTCTAGTAGTTCTCCATTTAACTTTTTGAGGAGCAGTCAGACGGTTTTCCACAATGGCTGCACCATTTTACATACCCACCAGCCATGCTCAGGGCATCAGCTGCCCCACATCCTCGTCAGCACTTGTCATTTTTATTTATTTTTCAATTTTTTTAAATTCTGTTTATTTTTGAGCGAGAGACAGAGTGTGAGAGGGGGAAGGGCAGAGAGAGAGGGGGGACACAGAATCCGAAGCAGGCCCCAGACTCTTGAGCTGTCAATACAGAGCCCAACGTGGCCTCGAACTCAGGAATCGTGAGATCATGACCTGAGCGGAAATCGGACACTTAACCGACTGAGCCAGCCAGGCGCCCCTGATTTTTTGTTTTTGGTGGTAGCCATCCTGATGGGTATGAGGTGGTCTCATTGTGCTGTTGATTTGTGTTTCCCTGATGATCGGTGATGTTCGGTGCTTTCTCCTGTGCTTATTAGCCACATGTACATGCATGTTGAAAATGTTGGTAAGCGCTATTTGGTTGTCACCCTAGAAGGCTATTTTCAGAGCACTCCTCAGCATCAGTTCGTTTACCCAGATTACTGGGCACGTGTGACCCCGCGCTTTTCTGACGGTGATCAGTAGAAGGAAGACAGGCACCCGCAGAGCACCATTTCTGTTCTGCGCATAGGACTTGCCGGTGATTGGGAGAAGTGGGAAGAGCTTCAGTTACAGTCAGGACGTCGTGTTGCTGCTGATGATGGACGGCATCCTGTTCCACCTGCAGAGTGTCACGGCCTATGCCCTCATGGGCAAAATCTCCCCCGTCACTTTCAGGTAAGCACGGTGACTTCCCAGGAGACAAGGTGTGTCCAGGTCATTTACAGAGGAGAAGAATTTAAATCCAGGTGTTTTTACAAAAGGTATTTATGATTGTAAAATGCTAGTGTGAGGACTGTGGCCACATGTCGTGATTCCCAGGCTGTTTTGTCTTGGTGCTACTTGAAACACAGCAAAGTTCACGAAATCCCCACCAGGAATCTACACGTTAGCACAGGAAGTGTTTGGAGCGGTTCAAGTATTTTTCCGTGGGGAACAGCATGTCCGTGGACTCGCCTGTGAAGCTGGAATGTTCGCTTCTGGGCTGTCCGGTGGGGGAGCCGTGTGCCTCAGGCGGTTCACCTGAAGTGTGGTGAGTGCAACAAGAGACGGAATTCTTAATTTTATCTCATTGTAAGCGATTTAAAATTTTTTCAATGTTGATTCATCTTTTGAGGGAGAGAGACAGTGCACGAGTGGGGAGGGGCAGAGAGAGACGGAGATGGAATCCAAAGCAGGCCCCAGGCACCGAGCTGTCAGCACAGAACCTGACCTGGGGCTTGAACCCACAAACTGTGAGATGGTGGCCTGAGCCGAAGTCAGATGCTTAACCGACTGAGCCCCCCCAGGTGCCCCTTAAACGAGTTAAATTTGAGGAGCCACACGTGGCCGTTGGCTCCCGTGTTGGAGGCACACCTCCGGAAACTGAGAGGTGAGCCAGAGGCCTCACTGCCTAGTCTTCATTTTTGTAACTGGAAAAGTTCAATGAAAGCGCCATTTCCTGACTGGACGTTTTCAATAACAAGGAGAAAAGCGTGAGCTAACGCCTCCGGCGGCCTAGAAGTCTATTCTTTGCCCACACCGTGTCGTGTAAGTTAGCGGGCCTTACTTTCTCTAACTTCTGAGCTGGCCGAGAAGTGGCCTGATGGAACCACACTGCGTGGAAGGCTTGTCGAGCCATGCCAGCCGTGTTTCTGTCTCCCCACGGCCTCTCTGACTGGCTCTCGCTCCTCCTGCCCACGTCGGTCTGGCCCAGGTCAGCACAGCAGCCGTGCCCCGCACTGGTCACATTCTGCAGCTCGGAGGTCCAAGGGCAGCACCGCCACACGTGGGCACCGGTGGCACCAGCGCGGTGCCCTGGCCTGCGACCCGTGCAGCCCTCACATTTCCTGGGTCTTGAATGGGGAGGGTCTGCAAGAATGTTGAGAATGGCCGTGATTTTTAAGTTCTTCTGAAGCTCATGGTGGTCACTGTCTCTGTCACATGCCCTGGTTTCTGTTTGGAGCCGGGAATTATTTCCAGATAGTCCTGAAACCTTGTTTTTCAGTGATCCTTAGTGATGGTTCACAAAAGGCAAAAAGCAGAAAACCAATTCTTTAAAAAAATTTTTTTATGTTTATTCATTCTTGAAAGACAGAGAGAGACAGAGCACAAGCAGGGGTGGGGCGGAGAGAGAGGGGGACACAGTATCTGAAGCAGGCTCCAGGCTCTGAGCTGTCAGCACAGAGCCCGGCGCGGGGCTCGAACTCACAAACGGTGAGATCATGACCTGAGCCGAAGCCGGGCACTCAACCGACTGACCCACCCAGGCACCCCTAATTCTTTTTAAAGCAAATAGTTTTTTTTTGTGGTTTATTCATATCATAAGAGCAATACTCATTATAGGAAATTTGGAAAAGGCAGGACCGTTCCAGAAATAAAGCAGAAGTCATCGTCACCCCAAAACACCAGCACTATTAACTTTCCAGTGTGTTTTGCACTAACTTCATTTTTACGGGCTCCAAGCCTCGAACGCAGTGCTGTCCTTACCATAGGTGTGCACAAAGCGCCCTTGTTCTTTAGACGGCAGGCTGAGCTATTTAGGAGTAAAATGTCATCACGTCTGTAATTTGCTTAAAAATAATTCACTCCAGGGGCGCCTGGGTGGCGCAGTCGGTTAAGCGTCCGACTTCAGCCAGGTCACGATCTCGCGCTCCGTGAGTTCGAGCCCCGCGTCAGGCTCTGGGCTGATGGCTCAGAGCCTGGAGCCTGTTTCTGATTCTGTGTCTCCCTCTCTCTCTGCCCCTCCCCCGTTCATACTCTCTCTCTGTCCCAAAAATAAATAAAAACGTTGAAAAAAAAATTTAAAAAAAAATAATTCACTCCAAAAAAAAGGATGAAGCAAGTAAAGCGAAATGTTAATTAAGTCTAGAAGATGGGAATAATGGCTGTTCATTATAGCATGTCCCTGCTTTTCTGTTTGACATTTTTGCTAATGACCAGAAAGCAGGAGGGAGCCAGCGAGGGAGCCCCGGGCCTGTGCCGGCTGGGCAGCGGGCCGAGCCCGGGCCGTAACCCCCTGTCGTTGCAGTGTCGCCAGCACCGTGAAGCACGCCTTATCCATCTGGCTCAGTATTATAGTGTTTGGCAACAGAGTCACCAGCCTGTCAGCCATCGGCACCGTCCTAGTGACGGCTGGCGTCCTGCTCTACAACAAAGCCAAGCAGCGCCAGCGGGAGGCCATGCAGAGCCTGGCTGTGGCCGCCAGCCCAACACCAGAGGACGAAGCGGAGCCACTGACCCCCAAGGACCCCAGACCACACCACTGAGCTCTGGAAGCTGCGGCAGGTGGCCAGAGCCCCCAAGCCGCTGCCCACTGCTGCTGTTCCCCTTACCGACGCAGACACCCGGCCTCCTTGGGTCAGTGGGGTGCAGGAGGCCACGGGACGGGCCGCCTTCGCCGCTCCCATTTCAGGTTTTCAGTGAAAACCAGTGGGAGCTTGAACGGGGATCCCAGATGTCCGCTTCCTGGGGTGGAGACCGGAGCCAGCTGCCGCTGAGCCACGGCCAGATAATGTGAAATCTGCCTCCTGCTGACCCTGTGCTGAGCACTCGCGAGGGGGTGGGACTTCCAGATGGCCTCTGCACCCCCCGTCACCAGCTTGCAGGTCTGGTTGCAGTTAGGCCACGCCCTCGTTCTCTGTGTGTGACCGCTACTGGGGACCCCTGTGAAGTGACAGCTGGATCCGGGTGCCAATGCGCACTGCTCCCCGCTGCTCGGTGCCAGCACAGAGAGCTCAGCTCCCCCTGCTCGCCGTCAAAGGCCCGTGAAGGCACACTCTGCTCCTGGGCCATCTGGGGAGACTGTCATGCTGAGAGAGGGCCAAGGCGCCCACGCCCTGGGCCGGAGGCCACAGCAGCTGAGTGCACAGAGCTAGGAGAGTGGAAAGGGATCAGACGGGCACAGAAATGAGGGTCCCTGCTCCTGTGGGCAGGATGTTGGGCCCTTGCCTTCCTGCCCCAGAGCTGCCAGCATCCAGCACCACTTAGGGAAAGGTGCCTCGCCCCTTTCAGGGTCTCCACCGCACTAGGCCCTCCACCTCCCGAAAGTCCCAACCCTCACCTGTGGCTGGCGCTTCAGTCAGGGACCCCCGATGTGGTGATTGCTGGTCACAGAGGTAGAGGACAGACATCTGTAGTGTTTAACTCAGGATGGGGACATACTGACCTTCCCTTTTGTTTTCTGGGCCTTCGTGTGTAACAGAGGCTGTTCTGAAGAGTTCCCTGCAGGTGCCCCTGCCATCACTCACCTGGTCGGGAGCCACGCCATATTTTGTCTCAAGCACAAGGGTGTTAAGGTTTTCTCTCATGAATGAATGAGCAGGTGGAGTGCTGGGAAGACCTTTTGGAGTGTTTATGGCTTTTGTCACACTGCATTTAAAATGACTGTAAAGGTGTTAAAGAAGAAAACCCAGGCACGGGTGGCTTCTGGAAAGCACCCTGTATGGCAAGTAACCCGTACTGAACCCACAGCCTGGCTCAGCCTGGCTCTCCCCTCCCAGAGCGATGGACCCACCACGCTGGGTATCTGAGCCCTGTGTCGGGTTGAGGCTCCTGACCTCTTCACCCTATTCCTCTTCCCACATCCTGGTGGGGTTTCTGATCAGGGCACGTCCGCTGCCAGCCAGGCTTTAATACCTCTCCGTGGCACCAGGTTCAAGCTCTGGGGTGTGTCATGTGCAGCCCAACACGGAGGATGAGGTTGGCCACACGGCTGTCTGGGGCCTGCCTGCTGCAGCTGAGTGAACCAGCCGACAGGAGCGCTTCAGGCACTGGTGGTTCCCTCATCTGATTTCCCCTCCCTGCCGTTCAGGTCCTTGGTTCCCATTATCTTTTCACTGGTTTTCCAGTTGACTGGTCAACTGGAAAGTATATTAAAAAAGGCCCTCCTGGAGATCAAATCTCTTGGAAACAAAGAGCAATAATAAGTCTCATTAAGTTCTGCCTACTTGAAAAAGTTTGCCATGATGATGGGTTAAACTGAGGCCTTTAAAACTGTAACCTTTTTATGAAGCTGACTTCCTATGTCCAGAGCACAGGCAGGGGTGTGCTCGCCCGCGCGCCACGCTCACCTCCACTGTGAAGACGTTTCTCCTGAGACTTTCCCCAGGTTTCTATCCCTTCCTCTCTCCTTCCTCCACAAAAAACACCGAAGAGTACTTGCTGGAGGCGGCTTGGGCAGCGGGATGTGCTGGGTCTGTGAGGCCCAGTGGGAAAGGACAGCTTCCAGAGGGCCCTGCCTCTGCCCTTAACAACGTGGCTGCTGTGGCCGGCTGTGGCCAGCTGCTGACAAGATGTGAGCAGAGAAGGAGACACGTCTACGGTCATCCTGTTGCAAGAATGTCACGTTGGCCTTCTCACAGACGTCCTCATCCAAGTAACCAGGTAGGCGGCACCTGCTTCTGAGCCTCGTTAGGGACCCGGGTCCGAGTCTCTTCTGGAACCAGCGCCCTGCACACCACATGTGCCCCGCCTCCTGTCACAAGTGGTTTTCTGCCGGTTTTGATTTTCCAAATTCTTGGACCAGAAACAAAATGAAGATTTCTCCAAATTATTAGTAAATGAGGTAATTTCCAACAAAGCTGCTTTTGAAACATTTCCTAAGAACCCAAGCTGTGGCCAGCACTGCCCGTGCCTGGGGCTTACATTCCTTCTTTGTATGGTCTCCACCCTGAAGCCGTCCGTGTCCTGCATGTCCGGGACAACCCTGCCAGGAGACAAAACATGGCCTGTCGTGGCCGTTTGTTTAATGAATGTACAGACATACGTTTTTTATTAACTTTGTGTAGTAGTGTTTATAGTATGTTTATAATACATTGCAAACATGCTTGTGTCATTGTCGTCACTTACACGGGTCATTTCCTATGCCCATGGTCATTGTCTGTGCCTTTGTAAAGAAACACTTCAAACAGGTGTCAGGTCGGGTCGGGTCGATACCTTACCTACGTGGATACTTCTAAATATACATGTATCTGACTTTCAAGGAAACTTCCACTATGAGTGGCATAAAAACCTTGGGTTTGTTTTTTTTTTTTTTCCCGACAGTCACAGTTGCATGTCATTGTTAAAATAATCTGCCCTGGAAAGCTGAGAATATTCTTGCACAATCCAAAAATGTGTCTTTAATTTGAGAAAAATAGGCATGGTGAATCCAAAGCGGTAAAATGCTGCACAAAGAGTATCAAACGAAGTTGTGCTTGTAGCCCATGCTGGAGATTCTTTTCCCAAAACCAGTGGGTTTTTGCTTGTGAACGGTCACTTGGACAGACCAGTAGGTTTGACAGACGCATATTATGGCTTTTTACATCTGTCTGAGTGTCGTGCTTTCCTAAGGCCTGGAGCATTTTCAGTTTCCCTGGGTTGGAAAAATTAATCAAGGACGCTACTACAGATAGAATTCTTTTGCCTTTGACCGTCATACTAAGGGCTTTATTCTTTCACAAAATCCATACATGCTCTGGCTGAGGCGTCTTCATTTCCTTAGTTTACAACTATAAATGTCCCAGCCCCCCCGGTCAATCTGCCTGTTTCCCTGTGTTCTGGCTGGTGAGCCAAGAGCAGAGGTGAGGTTGTGCTGACCACCCTCCGGCTCAGGTGGGAAACCTTCGATTTTGCTGTCCTTGAAGAGTTTCTTCCAGTTTTCCTGAGGGTTCTGATTCTGAGTTTGATGGCCACTGGATCCGTGCCCAGATTTCCAAACAGAGCTGGAAACTGTCCTAACTGGTAGAATCTTTCGTTGTCTTTTTTGTTTGTTTCATTGGAGTAAAACCTGCATTCACCCGATTGGCCATTTCTAGTCTTTGCAGATGTGTGAGTGGAGTCTGAACCTGCCCAGGGGGTGTTGTGGGACCCATGAGGAGGGCCACAGTCACCGAGACTTTCCCACACTGAAAAACTTGAAAATCCTATCAGTAATTGTCTGCATCAGAACCAAGTGCGATCTGCTTCATACCAAACAAAACTGTGGACAACTGAAAGCGCATTGTACAAGATGTGTATCGTGTTCTTGTATTTCACCTAATTCAGTATTCGAGTGACTAAATCAGTACTTTCTAGAAAGTGGTTCTATTAAGTAATTTAGTGAGTCACTGTTAAATCTACTGTGGTAATAAACTGATGCCTTTTGGCTCTTTTTGTCTAAATTAAGCCACTTGGTAGCGACTACCTAGGACTCTGGTTCTCTCAAAATACAATAAATGTTAACAGTGCCTGCCGTTGCTGTCTTCACTGTAACCCTCCCGGGTTTGTGCTACTGAAATGGTCACGGGGCTGGGGGGGCGGGTGGAGGGTGGTTCTTGTCGCCTTCATGCTGATAACTCCCTTCGTGAAGAGAGAAGAATGGTTCTCCTGTCCCCAACGGCTCAGGAAGCAAAATAAGTGTGGGTACAGAAAGGGAACACCGTCCTGGGGAGGAAAAGAAAGCTCAATTCCACTCGCCCTTTTTGTGCCCGAGTTCGTCCCATTCCGCATTTCCCACTTCAAACCCGGCTAACGAGGGCGCATGTCGGTCTCCTGCTCTCTTCCCTGGGCTGCGGCTCGTGGGTTCACCACATTCCCACGGCCCTTCCAAACCGCGGGAGGGGGCGGGGCGGGAGGGACCCCGGGGAGGCGCGCCTTCGCGCCACACGCCCTTCTAGAATTCCGGTCGAGCCTCCGGCGTCACCGGAGCACCAACGGCGGCCTCCGCGCCCCGCGCTCGGAGGGACGGCCGGCGGCGGCGCCCGGGTCGGAAGTGACGTGAGCGCGCCCGGGCCCCTCCCTGCTCCGGCCGAGCCGCCGGCGGGCGCCGCCGACCTGCGTCATCAGCCCGCGCCGGCGCAGGAAGTGCCGACGCTGCTGGCGCGCGCCGGGCGCTGTTTCTCCTCAGGCTCCGGGACCGGCGGCGGCGGCGGCGGCGGCGGAGGCGCAGGGGTGAGTGGCGGAGGGCGGGGCCGGGCCGGGCGGCGAGCGCTCGGATCCGGGCGGACCCTGGGCGTCGCTTCCCGCCTCCTCGTTCCGCCTCGCCCCGCGCGGAGCCGGGGGTTGAGGCGGCGTCGGGCGCAGACGCCGGGAGCCCGCCCCTGCGGGCCCGAACCCCGACTCGTAGCGGCCGCGCCCGGGGGGCTGAGGGGCCGGGCGGCCCGGCCGCGTCGTATCCGGTGACCGCGACCCCCGGGCGTGGGGTCTCCGGGACTGAGCCGCGAGCTTTCCACGGATGAGCTCCCTCCCCATCGGTGTTGTTCTGCGGGGGGGGAGGGGGGGTGTTCTCGTCTGTGACCGAAGGGTAAACTGAGGCGAAGGACCTTGCCCGGGAATGACGGCAAAGAGATTTGAATCCAGGCGGTGGCTCTTCGGAGCCCGGCCCGCCCCGTCCGCGAAGACGCAAGCCGCAGCGCCCCGAAGCCCACTTGCCGGGTGTCCTGCCCTGGCTCGAGCTCTTTCTCTTTGCAGCGGTTCGACTCAAATGGGTGATGAAAAGGACTCTTGGAAGGTGAAAACTTTAGATGAAATTCTTCAGGAAAAGAAACGACGGAAGGAACAAGAGGAGAAAGCAGAGATAAAACGCTTAAAAAACGTAAGCCATGTTTTTTAAGTAAGTGGTTTTCTTAAAGGAGATTTAATTTCTTTGCCCTCGTTTTTCCATTAGAACAACGCTTCTTCGGTGAAGTTCTTTTGTACTTCCAAATGTCGCAGGTGAGCGCAAAATCTCTTCTAAAAATTAACAAAAACGTTCAAATACTCGGTTTGCGTTGCAGACAGATCGATAACATACTAAAGCTGTGTGTAGATGGCAAGATCCACGTGGAGATAAAGTACTTTGAACCTGAATCCATTAGTGCAGTGGGACTAATTTTTCTCATGTCACCGTTTCTGTGTCCGTGGCACCATTTCCAAGTATGTCTAGTGCAGTAGGAAGTCGCCCTGGAATTAATACTCGTGTTTGGCGGGGTCTTTGGCTGGCACAGTAACGTAGTCAGAGACACGTTTGGTAGCTTGGCGAGAGCGTCGGCAGAAGTACTCGTTTCTGCTCTCCCTGGTAGCTGACCTTTGTTAGCTATTTCCGAGTCACGGACGGACGAGGTGTCCCAGGGTATTTGGCGTATAAAACACGGCGTAAGGCTCAAGTTTGGCTTATGTAAACAACTAACATACTTGGCGTAGAGTCTAATGTTCCTTGTCGAATATGCTGATTTCAAGTTTTTTCACCTGAGGCCCCGGGTTCTAGAGAGTTGTGATTTTAACGTCATCATACGATTTGGGTGGAAGGTTCTTATACCTCGTAACATTGATCCATTCAAAGCGTATGTGAAACTTTGGGCATTGGCAAGGTTTGAGATCATTAACGAGACTTTTATCTGTGAGGAAATGACTTTCTCCTTGCTTCTCAGTCTGATGACCGGGATTCCAAGCGGGATTCCCTTGAGGAGGGGGAGCTGAGGGACCACCGCATGGAGATAACGATCAGGAACTCGCCATACAGAAGAGAGGACTCCATGGAAGACAGGTGGGGACAAGGTGCACGAGGAGGAAGGGCATCCAGCTGCACGTGCGCTTCTCCGCGGAGACACACGGGGTCCCACAGCACAGCTGTGGTCCTGGCTGAGCCTCCGCAGGGCTCCTCTGAAAACGTTTGAAGCGGTGACTGTGGGTTTACCTCACAGTTGAGATGGCCTTTGTGTGGTACCAGTTGGCACCCGAGTCCTCTTGCGAGAAGATTGAATGGGTGCATATTCCCTTCTTGGCAATTATCCTTCAACCCAGTGAATTCGCATTCACAAATTGCATTTAAATAATTGCGTGTGTGTGCTTTCAGTGACTGGTAAAATTACTGCCTAAAATCTTGCACGGGTGAACCACACTAGGGTGCTGGAGTGTGCGCGAGCAAGGCCCGTAAGCGGCGGTGGTCCTAGCGAGGCCCCTATATGCTAACATCCCTTCCTGCACCACGGTATCCCCTCACTTGCTTCCTTCTCGTATCCGTCATCATCACCAAATTATCCGTCATCAAATCATTAAAGCCGGCCTAACCAGAAATTAAGGTGCAAGGACGTACAGATTGTGAATTCTCACAACTTTTTGGTCATATAGTCAGTGAAAAGTGTTGTTGAGTGACCTTTTGAGGTCATCAAGTTCTGATAAAATTGTGATACTTTTTTTAACGGCTTTATTGGTGTATAAACGATAAGCTGCACATATGTAAAGTGTGCGGTCTGACATGTTTGTACACGCTTGTGAAACTATCACCGTGGTCATGGTGATGAACGTGTGCATGATGCCCTGAAGTTTCTTCAGAGAGGCATTTTCTTTCCATATACACATTGATTTTTCACGTACCCTTTTCATCTGTGTCTGTATTTGTAAGCAGTTTTGGCTTCAATTTCATAGTTAAGATTTAAAATGATTCTAGCTTCCACTTTCTTTGTATTCTGACCGCTGCGTTTTTTCCGGGCTGAAGAAGCTCCACGGCACCCTCATGGCTCTTCCGTTACCTGACGTGATGCTTTGTGTCTTATTTCAGAGGAGAGGAAGATGATTCTTTGGCTATCAAACCACCCCAGCAAATGTCTCGGAAAGAAAAGGCTCATCACAGGAAAGATGAAAAGAGGAAAGAGAAACGTAGGCATCGTAGCCATTCAGCAGAAGGGGGTACTGAGCATTTATTGGTTTTTTTCTCTGTATCATGCTCAAGTATGGTCTGTTTCCTGTGTCATACTCCACCGTCTCCTCCAGAGCACAATTGAAAGAGAAGAGAAAGTAAAATCTTAGCCAAAAGCATACGTTTTTCTAGATCATTCTGAATAGTTAATTCATTTTCTTCCTGGTATTTTTTCTCCCTTGTTACATTGTTTTGGGTTAGTTTGTTTAAATGTAATATTGTCTTTTTTTTTTTTAATGTTTTTTGAATTTTTTTTTTAACGTTTATTTATTTTTGAGAGAGAGAGAGAGAGCGTGAGCGAGTGCACAAGGAGGGGAGGGGCAGAGAGAGAGGGAAACACAGAAACCAAAGCAGGCTCCAGGCTGTAAGCTGTCAGTACAGAGCCTGACGCGGGGCTCAAATTCACGAACTGTGACATCATGACCTGAGCTGAAGTCAGACACTTAACCGACTGAGCCACCTAAGCACCCCATTAATGATTGTTTTCTCAAGGAGAGATCGAGCATCAGCGGGGGAGCGGCAGAGAGAGGGAGACACAGAATCCAAATCCTGAGCTGTCAGCATAAAGCCTGACGTGGGGCTTGAACTCACAAATCGTGAGATCATGACCTGAGCAGAAGTCAGATGCTTAACTGACTGAGCCCCCCATAAATGTAATATTGTCTAAACTCAACAAATATAGGGTATTTATATGCAGTTTTTTTTTTTTAAGTTTACTTATTTTGAGAGAGCACACTTGCAAGCATGAGATGGGCAGAGAGAGGGAGAGAGTATCTCAAGCAGGCGGCATGCTGTCAGTGCGGAGCCTGACACAGGGCTCTGTCTCACAAACTGGGAGGTTGTGACCTGAGCCGAAATCATGAGTCGGATGCTTAACCAGCTGAGCCACCCAGGCATTCCTTCCTTACATTTTGAATAATAGGTATTTTTCTAGCTGACATGGTTGCAAGAGTATAGTAGCCAACATAAAACACACAGTGTGTGTTAATTGGCTATGTTAACAGTAAGCTCTTAGTAAAATTTTTAGGGAATCAGAAGTTATACATGGATTTCTGACTGCGCTGGGGGTCAATTATTCAACATTGTGTTTTTAAGGATCAATTATAGTCTAATCATAGCTTAATACAGAAAGAAAATGAAAGTTTTTTTTTTTTAAACGTTTATTCATTTTTGAGAGAGACAGAGCGTGAGCGGGGGAGGGGGAGAGAGAGAGGGAGACACAGAATCTGAAACAGGCTCCAGGCTCTGAGCTGTCAGCACAGAGCCTGATGCGGGGCTCAAACTCACAAACCACGAGATCGTGACCTGAGCCAAAGTCGAACGCTTAACCAACTGAGCCACCCAGGCGTCCCAAAAGTTACAGTTCTATTCAGTGATAACCACATTATTTTTTCTCTCACTTTGAGGCTTACTTCCATAGGATTTTCTTTTGTTTTTTTAACATAAAATGATTGTTTCTCCGAAGTCATTAATTAAATGTTTTCTTCTTCACTATTTTCTTTGAAAAAAAGTTTTTAATTTTTTTTTTTAATGTTTATATTTTAGAGAGACAGGGTGTGAGCGGGGGAGGGGCAGAG